CATCTGATCTCCTTTAGTAAAACCAAATCTAGCAATATCTCACCCCAATCCTCCGATAATTTAAATCACCTTAATCCCTCAAATCCACTGATATCCATTTCAATTCTCTTCAGCCCTTCTTTTACCCTCCTGATCCATCGATATACCTTTTAATTCACAGATATCCCTCCAAATCCACTAATTATTTTTAAATAAATCTTTTAAAAAAAGACTCGAAAATGTCTCGGTGCCCGACTCGATAAAGTCAGGCCCGAAAGTGACTCGTACCGGCCCGACTCGATAAATTTGGGCCCGAAAAAGACTCGTATCGGCCCGACTCGATAAAGTTAGGCCCGAAAAAGACTCGTACCGGCCCGACTCGATAAAAACAAGCCCGAAAAAAAATGCCTCGACCGTCGGCCCGACTCGAAAACGGCAACCCTATTCACGTGCATTCCCGCGACTGAAGTTTGTGTGGGCAATTTTACCCATCTCGTTTGTTTGTTTTATTATCTTTACACCCCTCTTTCCCTTTTCTCTAATTTTAAAATTAAATTTTTCTTCTTTAAAGTTTTGCTGAAATTTTCTATCCAGCCAAACTTTTCTTATCTATGTTTGCACAGCTACCTATTTCATCATTTTTCACCTTAACTCTCTATTAAATTCTTTGCCATTGGCCAAAAACCAGGGCCAATGGACTGCTTTATAAGCCCTTCCCCAAACCCCCAAAATATTGTCTTCTCCAGTTCATTCTTCAAAAACACCTCCTTCAAAAAGCCTTCTAAACCCTTTCACAGCAACTGTTAATTTTAATTTAAATTGAAATAAATATTTTAAATAATTTTAATTTATTCTTTAAATTACTCCAAAACTTGGTTGGTTACAACAAAATTCTGATTTATTTAAAACATGTTTTAAATAAACTTGTTTGTTTTAAATTCTGATTTGTAAATTCTGATTTGTAAATTCTGATACTAATTTTTCCTTTTACAATTAATAATTATCAGAATTGTTAGTACTTTAAAAACATCCAAATTTGTTATCATTTATATCAATAATTTATTTTTTATAAAATTAATTATAATAATATTAAATATTTCTTTTTAATAGACAATTTAATATTGATGATTGACTAACAATAAATTAATAATTTAATTTTATCATCTTATGATTAAAAAAAGACGACTTTTCCTCTTAAAAAATATTTTTCCTCCTTAAAAAATATTTTTCTCGCTTAAAAAATATTTTTTCCTTATCACTCCATAATCAAAAAATTATTTTATTTATAAAAATAATTTTAGAAATGCTCTAGAATTTAATTAAAAATTTCTTTTATCCATTCTCCCTTACTTATTTTTAAAATAATTTTTAAAATTAATTAAATTGCCCATTTTTGGCATTCTGTCCATTTTCTTTCATTTCGTCAACTTTTAATTTCTCTCAATTTTTATTTAATCTATTACCTAAAATAAAGTCAAAATATTAAATAAAGGCTTTGTTTAACAAAAAAATCTCAATAATGGAAGGGAAGGCTAACCATCTTTCTTCTCTCTTTATTTCCCCAGCGCAGCAAGGTGTAGAGACTAAAAAAGAAATTAGGGCTTGGTGTGATGGATGGTAAATTTTTTAAATATTTTTATAAAATTAATTTTTCTTTTTTAGCTATGATATGGTTCATTTTGGACATGCTAATCAATTAAGACAGGCAAAGCAGATGGCTACTTGTTTAGTTGTTGGGGTTGGGAATTTTATTTTTTCTTTTAAATGTGGGGTAAAATGATGATATTGTGGAGTAGTGGTTAGTGTCCTTGACTTCCCTGGTTTGAGGGTGCGAGTTCGATACCGGCTAAATTCTACTTATTTACTTATTTTTTATTTGTTTTTTTTCTATTTTTTTGAAATTTGGTTTATTCTTCAAAGATGAGGTAATATTAAGGTTAGTAGAGTGGTTAGTGTTCTAGACTTCCCCCAGTGTGGGGGTGCGGGTTTGATGCTTTTTGGGTCCCAGCATTTTTAAAGTTGTTGTAAACTATATTTATTTAATTTTATCAGCTTAAAATAGTCTAGATTTGTTTCAAAAATTTTTTAAAGAAATTCTTACAAGAAATTTTTACTTTATAAATTTATTTTTCAAGGTCCACACAGATGAAGAAATTTCTTTGCACAAAGGCCCTCCTGTTTTTACAGAACAAGAACGTTATAAAATGGTTAAAGGCATTAAATGGGTCGACGAGGTTTTCTTTTTCTTTAATTTTTTTTAAATTTTAAATTCAAAAAGGTTGTAGAGGGCGCTCCTTATGTCACAACAGTCGCTACTTTGGACCGCTACAATTGTGATTTTTGTGTTCATGGAGATGATATAACCCTTACTGCGGATGGGAAAGATACTTATGCGGAGGTTAAGGCTGCTGGGAGATATAAGGAATGTTCTAGGACTGCTGGGATTTCGACAACAGTAAATTTTTATTGAATAATATTTTTGCGGATTTTTGGGGGACTTTGCGGATTTTTTCAATTTTTGCGGATTTTTAATTTTTTGCGCATTTTTTTAATTTTTTTGTGGATTTTTCATATTTACTTTTAATTTTAAGGACCTTGTCGGTCGTATGCTTCTTTTGACAAAGACCCACCATATAAACCACGAAAATGACCTTGATGAAGCAGAGCGAGATCACGCTAGAAAACTCAGCACAGATCAAGAAGCTCGGTCTCCTTGGACATGTATTTCCCGTTTTCTTCCTTCTACTCAGACAATTATGCAGTTTGCGGAGGGTCATCAACCTGCGCCTGGAGATAAAATTGTTTGTTATTTTTTCATTTTTTAGTTGAATTCTTTGGGGTCCTAGTTGCTGCGGTCCTAGTTGTTGATGTAAATGTCCTAACCGAAGCTCGTGGCCAAGGGGAGGTGGAGAAATACGGGTCGATCATAAAGCGTATTTTTGAGGGTACAAAGCAAATATAGTATTTATAACACTTGTCGGCCCAGGCTCCAATCAAGGATCGGCTTATTAGGATTTGGCTCTCAGTGTCTCGCCCCGATTTTAAATAATTTTTTCTATCAATTTTTTATTAAAGGTTTACGTCTGTGGATCTTTCGATCTCTTCCATATTGGCCATTTATGTTTTTTGGAACAAGCCAGACTTCACGGAGATTATCTTATTGTTGGTCTATATACGGATCAAGATGTGAATGTTTACAAGGGAAGGAATTATCCAATAATGACTTTACATGAAAGGGTTTTGAGTGTTTTGGCTTACAAGGTTTTTTGAAAATTTTTTGCTCTGATAAATTTTCTGAGTCCATGAAAATTTTTGGACTCATAAATTGGACTAGAGCCGATTTTTCAAAATTTTCTAAGAAAAAAATTTTTCTCCAGCCAGTTTCTGAAGTTATTATTGGCGCTCCTTTGTGTGTGAATGAGGAGCTAATAAAACGTTTCAAAATCGATTTGGTCATTCGTGGGAAAATAAAATCTTCTCATGCCAATATTGATGGAATTGATCGATATGAGTATGTGGTTTCTTTAAAATATTTCAAAAAAAATTTTTTTTAAAGTTTTCCAAAACATATGGGAATATTTATGGAAGTAGATTCTGGTAATGAAATGACTACAAATTTAATTATTGAAAGAATTATTAAAAACAGGTTTTTTCTAAAATAAATTAAAAAAAAATTTTTTTTCAAGTTTGGAATTTGAACAGCGAAACAAGAAAAAAGAAAAGAAGGAAATCTCTGCTTTTAAAGCTTGGGAGAAAATGAAGAATGAAGAGAAAAATAAAATTAATGGAGGTGGACATGAACAAAATGGAGGAGGAGGAATTAATGGAAGTGATGGAAATAAGGTTAGTTCTGGGAGGGAAAAAAATTTTTTTGGGAGTTTTTTTTTTAATTTTTAAGGGATCTTTTGGATACGGCCCATGTAGGCGCAAAGTCATAACTTGCTTCAAGATTTCTGAATTTTTCAAAATTTAGTAGACGATTCCTCTCATCGAGCCAAGGAGATTGGTACCAAATTTGCTAAGGTTCAGAAATTTTCCAACTAGTTATGGCTCTGCGCCTACTCTTGGGCGTTTCTCTCCTTTTGTTAAAAAATTTTAGAAAAAAATAAAAAAATTTTTTTTTATTTTTAGGCCCCTCTCTACCATATTGTTTGTTTGGATAATGATAATTGTAATATTAGTAATAAATAATAAGACTACCTCTTCTAAATAAAAATTAAAAATATATATATAATTTTTAACCTAAAAATTTTCTCTTAAAAAATGTCTAGCCATATACATATAATTATTAAACAATATATTCTATGTGCCATTCCATTTATATATGTGTGTATAACCAAATAATAATTAACTTTAATTCTTTTTCCGGAAAATTTATATTTAAATATTTTATATTTTCCGGAATTTCTATTTCTTTTGGTAATGTTTGTGTATTTTCCGGAAGAAAGGCAAAATAAAAAATAAAGTGTATTTTCCGGAATTTTTGTTAAATCATTTAATATATTTTCCGGAAGAAATACATATTTGTTTTTATTTCCGGAAACTATTTGATGTTTTGTATTTTCCGGAATCTATTGTCTATCCGGAATTTTCTATAAATATATTTTTATATTTTCCGGAAAACTATAATTAATTTTAAATGTATTTTCCGGAAAAGTATTTCCGGAAAGTATTTTCCGGAATCCTTTATTTATATGTATGTCCGGAATTTTCTATAAATATATTTTTATTTTCCGGAATCTATTAATTTTAGATGTATTTTCCGGAAAAAATATATTTACCAAAGATATTTTTTTTTCTTTTCCTGTTTTGTAATGATATTTCTCTCTAGTCTCAAAAACTGTTTAGAATAACTATTCTTCTTTCCACCTATATTTTTGATCTATTTAAAAAAATTAATGCTTTATATTTACTATTAATTAAATTTTTTTATTTAAAAATTAAAATTTTTTTTCTTGTTATTTTCAATTGAAAATATTTTTTTAATTTTTTCAAAAAATTTTAATTAATTTTTAGGAATATTTTTTCAAAAAAATTTTCAGAAAAAATTTTTTCGAAATGGATCAAATTCTCGCTCTCTCTCGTCTTTCCATATTTTCTACTACAAAACCTAAATTTGATGTTAATGGAGCCTTGACGACTCGAAGGGAGCAAATTACAATTTTAATAAACAAACAAATTGAAGATTTTGAGGCTATTGGTTTTGATGATCGCGAAATTGAAAAAAAGGTTTTTTTTATTTTAAAAAATCATTTTTTAATTTAAAAATATCCAGATACCATGGTGGGTGGGATTCCGATTTCAGAAAAAAATTTTTGATTTCCGAGTTCCGACTTCTGAGCTAGTTCCGATTTCCGGCTCTTCCAAGTTCCGACCCTTTCTGCTGGTTACCAGGGGTGTGCCGAAACAGATTTTAAAAAGCGAAAGTCGATTTAAAAAGCGAAAGACGAAACGGCACACCTTTGCTGGATACCCACTCCCTCCCTTTCCTTGTTTAGGTTTTTAAAAAACAAGGAAGGGGTGGTGGGATATCTAAAAATACCTAAATTTTATTTTATAGATTGATAAGACGATTCAGGCACATCGTGATAAATTGCAAAATATTTCAAATGATGAAGGTTTTTAATTTTTTTATATTTTTGAATAAACAAATTTTTTAGGTAAACGTAAACTTGTTGGCGAATGTAAACATAAAGTCAAAAAAATTGATGAAGGTAAACATAATTTTTTATTTTATAAAGTTTAATCAAACGAGACCGGGTTTTCTGAAGAGTTTTTGAAAAAATTTCTGTAAAAAAAATTTTTTTGATTTTTTTCTGAAAATTAAAGTAATTTTCTAAAATCTTTCCAAAAATCAAATCAAAAACATAGTTAAAAAGCGGGAGGCTCAAAAAAGACTGAATTCTGCGGAGCTCGGATCCAGTTTCAAAATTTTCTTCCGGGTATATATCAGGGATGGGACGGGTTGAGAAAAAGTCGGGTCGTGTTTCGGAGAGCCCCGACTATATTTAACAGATGAAAATAACTTTTTCTTTCTAGAATGTCGTCAAGAACGTGAAAAGAGTGAAAAACTTAAGAGCAGAATTGATGGTCTCAATTCTATGTTGAAGGAAATTAAAGAACCTATTCGTGAGGAACAAATTTACAAGATGAGGAAGGCCTCTTTAAATATTTAAAATGACCTTAAAAAATAATTTTTGAGGAGAAAATAAATCTCAGTATTTTCTAAGGGAGCCAGACATATCGAGAATTATCTCGGGTTGAAAAAAGTCTGGGCAGGTTTTCAAAATTTTTCGAATTGGGTTTAGGGTCGAAAAAAAAATCCGGATTTTATTTTAATGTACGAACAGCTACTTTATTGTCTTCTGGACCTTCGGCCACTGGGTCTTGGATAGTACAATTTTTTGTTACCAAAATCTCGATATGTCCGTCTCAATATGTCTCCCTAACTATTTTAATTTATTGTAAGCAAATAAAAAATTTTTCTGTACAAATGACATTTTATCCCGCTTATTAAAAGTAGTAAACAGAGTTTTTGGTGACTGGTTTTATAATTGAAAAAATTTTAAAACGAGCGCAATTTTTTAATCCCCAAAAATAAAGTCGTTATTTAGCTGGAAAGTTCAGAACCGAAAAAAGTAACCTAAAAATAGAGGATAACAGCTTAATAAAACCGGTCGCCTAGTCTACTAAAATTAAAAATTTTTTGAAGATAATCGTGACTAATTTTCTGGGTTAAACAAAAACACTTTAAACAAAAAAAAGTAAAATATACAAAATTTAATTCTTTTCAATTCTAACGCCAGCGGCTTTTGCATGATTAGGCCAATCATTAATTGTTCCACCATAAATCCTTACGAATTCTTCGAGTATTTCCTAGTGTGTTTTAAATTAATTCTTGGGAAAAGCATTTTCTAATAAAGTCTGGTTTTTATTTAAAAAATCAGAAAATTTTTGGACAAAATGTCGAACGGAAGGCAAAATACCGTATTTTTCCCAATAGAAGCGCATGCGCTTCTATTTTTCAACCTCCTCGTAGACTGCGCTTCTATTGGGACGTGCGCTTCAAATGGGACGTGCGCTTGTATTTTTCAACTCATATGCGAATTAATTTTTATAACATTATAGAAATTTAAACCAAACATTACATCTCTATAGATTCCACAAACCCAAAAGTTTTTGCAACATTTTCTTTTGAAATCACATCTCATGATTCAACTATCCATACCAAATAAAATTTCAGCTGGTGGACCCAAATAAGTAAGCGTTGTGAAAACAATGATTGCCCTATAATTGCTCTCAAATATTTGATTGTGACGGCATCATCCATCCAGCTTTTTCCACTCCATCTCCTAGGCAAGGTCGAATAAATTTTTCCCCAATTATAACTCAAAAACCTTAAATCTTTCGACAAGAGAGGGATCAGGTCGTTTACGTGAAAGTAGTACAAAGGGAAGATTGGAAAAATTTATCGATAGAATAAGATTTGCATTTTCAAGTATAACACCGGTTACATTAATATAACACCGGTTACCTAAAACTCAATTTCGAACCGGAATTAGAATCCATTTTTTATAAGTGTAAATTCTTAATCTAAATGTAAATGAATAATCTTTGTTTAAAATAGTAACTATGTAACAGGGTAATTGCTCAAATAAGTATATATAGGGTGCGCTTATAATAGGACGTGCGCTTCTATTGGGACCTGCGCTTGTATTTTTCAACCTCCTCGTAGACTGCGCTTCTATTGGGACGTGCGCTTCAAATGGGACGTGCGCTTCTATTGGGAAAAATACGGTATGACAAAATGTCAGTCAGAAAATTAAAAAAAAAATAACCAAAAAATAAAAATTTTCCAACCTTTTTACTGACAACAGTTTCTGCACGTGGTCCCCAATGATAAAAAATGTCATCCACTCCTGATGCTTGATCAAATTGTATATTACATTTAAGCCAACCCTTAAAAATTTTTTTAAATAATTTTTAATTTAAAAAACCTGTGAAATAAATTCTGCTGATTTTGCCGGGCCTAAAATATTCATATATTGTTTGTCTGTCAAGTGTTCAGTGTTAAATTTATCAAACATTTTATTCTGAAAAATAATTTTTATTTTAGGGTTCTTTTTGTTTATTCTCCCAAAAATGTCCGCAAATTTTATCAGCAAAGTCATACTTTTTATTTTTTCAAAAATGATTGTAAGTAAGCGGAGAAACTTTAAAGAAACATGAAAACAATGAAAGTTTAGTTACTTTTTTGCTTAAAATAAATAGCATGACTTGCGGATACTTACGGACATTTTTTGAGAGAATAAGGGGAAGGACTAAAAAATCAAGAAAATTTAAAAAAAAAATACCAAAAATTCTTTAATCAACAAAAAATCAATTCCTTTTTCATTCGCATTGCCTTTACTCTGATGCCGTTTTGACATAAAAATAAACATTAAAGTTGAGGTAAGTAACCAGCGTTTAAAGTCTCTATTTTCCTATAAAAAGAATTTGAATAATTATAAATTGATTTGGCTCATATTTCCGGACAATACAGATGAAATAGAAATGGGAATAATTTGGGTTACTTTTGATGGACGGAATAATATGACGAAGTAAATTGAAGTTCAAGTCATTTATAAAGACCAGAGAAATAGGGCTATAGTGTAGTGTACCGGGGGTAAAAGTTCGGGACGTGACATATGTCATTCGACAATCAGCTTTACCTCCGGTACACTACAATATATCCAGAAAGTTTTAAAAAGTCTAGGGTTCCGGGTTTTGATTCCTAGTCTAGGCATGTAAACTAAAAGACGTAATAAATGCATGGATAGAGCCCAAAAACCCTAAAGCATTATCCAAAATTATAACTCTCCAACTAAAATTAATTTAAAAAATATACCACTAATTTTTCACTTTCTTGATCCTCATCATCAGAAGCATTATTGTTTGTACTATTACTGTTTAGACTGCGCACTTCTGAAGCCAAAGATTTGGAAAGAGGTCCACACCTTTTATCGTACCACTAAAATTTTCAAATTAAAAAGTAAAAATGAAAATAAAACTTGAGAAACGTTCATTGCAAGATTGCTTCCAAGTCCATTATAGAGATAATAACGTTTACTATCATCATCACGTTTCAACTAAAATAAAATTAAAAAAATTTTTTAAAAAAATGAAAATTCTTTACATGGATGGCTAAATTAATTAATTTAGAAGAGAAACAAAGTTGGGAGCAGTTCGAAGGATCGAACCTCCATTGGTGAAAATAGTTAGTCAGAGACACTACCACTACACCACAACTTATCCTTAAGTACTACTTTAAAATATCTATATAGTTGAGGGATAAATAGCCTTTAACGTCAATCCATCCTCTTATTAATTAAAGTCCGCAAATTTAATCCGCAAAAATTTTTTAAATTGCAAAAAATTAAACCTTCATTCCAAAAACATTCATAAATTCCTCTTTAACTATTTTCAAAACTTTATCCTTCAATCTGCGCTCTTTTCTACCGGTAAATACATCGGCAATGTCCCCATCTCTGCAATAACCACGTTTAGTACAACTAGAAATTTGGTAAAAATTATTTTAAAAATAAAAAATTAAAAACCAGGACATGACACACTGAACAACTTTTTTTACAAGATCGAGTTTAAGTCGATTTAACATTTCCCTATCATCCTGAAAAAATTTTGAAAAAAAAATTTTTTTTGATTTTTAAAGAAAACCTGGTCGTCACTATAATCCATCTCCTCGTCTTGATCAATATCTTCATTAATATCGTCAGCCATTAATTTATTGAATTATCTAAATTAAACTTTAAAAAACTAAAAAACCTTAGAAAAATAGGTAAAATCCAAGCCAAAATTTTTTTAAAAATTTTAAATTCAAATCCGCGCCAATTTTACAGCGAAACTTCAAAATGTCAACTTTTCAAAATACCAAATTGACAAAATGCCAACAAAGGAGGCTTTAATTTTTAAACGCCTAAGGCTTTTTGATGGGATTTGTAAAAGCTTATGGTTGCGTGTCCCTACAAAGGATCGTAACATAAAAGGATCGACACGGCTAAAAACGTTCAAAGGATCGTAACGTCTTAAAAACAATTAAAGGATCGTCACGGGCAAAAAGTATTAAAGGGTCGCCCATTAAAGGATCGTCCATCAAAGGATCGCCATGGGTATAAACGGCTCCCATACAAAATACCGAATTCTTAAAATATGGAATCTCAAAATCGCGAATCGGCTAAAAAAGCTCAAAATATGGAATCTCAAAATATCGAATCTCAAAATATGGAATAGGCAAAAAAAAGCTCAAAATATCGAAAAATATCGACAATGCGGCAAAGGCCAGTTGAGTCTGAACAAAGTTGTGACCAACTTCTTCGTAAAAAAATTTTAAAAATAAGAGGAAGTATTTTTCTAAGGTAAAAAAATGTGCTGATTACGAATCTCAGCTCGGATTTTGAAAAAGTCGAATCCCGGACCCGAACCGAATTTCGAATCCCGAACCGAATTTCGAGTTTCCGAATGATAGCTCATCTGAAAGAGCACGTCGAGCTGCATCAAATGACACCAAAATCAATGAAATCCGACCTGATTGGACTGAGTTACAGACCCCTGAATAATCAGAAAAAGACCTGCAGCGGCACTCAAACGGCCCTTTTCGTTTTTAAAAAATTCGACATTTTTAACTACTTTTTAGCCGATTCGGTATTTTGAGCTTTTTTGGCCGATTCGCGATTTTGAGATTCGATATTTTAAGATTCCATATTTTGAGCTTTTTTGGCCGATTCCATATTTTGAGATATTTTTACCGATTCGCGATTTTGAGCTTTTTTAGCCTATTCGCGATTTTGAGAATTCGGTATTTTGTGCGGGCACGGTATAAACGTTCAAAGGATCGTTTTTTGAGTACCCACCCAAAAGTAGACGTTTGAGTCCCGCATATCTTTTCGATTCGGCCAAAAGGGGTTTAAAAGAGTCTAGCAATCCGCGGAAAAAAGTTTTTGCCGCTGCGGAGGAAGCCGGGCATGTCGAGCGGAACGACGGCCGCCGCTTCGCTACGGTCGCCGCGAGCGAAGCGAGCACGACCGCAGCGAAGCACGGCCATCGTGTAGCGAAGAGTTTTTCCAGCGAAGATTCTGTTGGTAATACATAATTATGTTCAGACTCGACTGACTTTTCCGTCTTAATCACCGTTAGCAGACTGCGGCATATAACTGCGCTCAAAGTGTTGGCACTGAACTGGCTTTATTCAATTTTTGAAAAATGGCGATCCTTTGAACGTTTTTACTCTTGGCGATCCTTTGATGGACGATCCTTTAATGAACGGCCCTTTAATACTTTTTGCCCGTGACGATCCTTTAACAGGGCGATCCTTTAAAAAACGATCCTTTGTATAGGAGCCTATGGTTGTGTTTGTTAATTAAATTTTTTTATTTTTTAAGAGTCAGTAATATAAAATTTGTATTTTTGCCTGTTTACATTGACTTATGATATCTGACAGCATTGTGGACGTAAACGCTGCTTTGGTTTGTTTGGGTGTTTCTAATTTGTATAGACTCTCAAATAATTTGTAGGACGATATAATTTCTAAACGTCGTGTTGGCAAACGCGCAGCACCTCGAATTGATGAGCCTCTACCTTTAGGAAGAGGAGGAGGTAGACGAAATCAGCGACGTCGTAATAGTGGAGGGGGAGGAGGAGGTTTTGGCAATGCTGGCTTTGGAAATAGTGGATTTGGAAACCAGAGCTTTGGAAGTAATTCTGGGAGTTTCGGCAACTCCGGATTTGGAAATTCTGGGTTTGGAAATAGTGGATTCGGCAATACTGGGCCTCGACGGCAATTTGGAGGCGGTGGAGGGCGAAGGACTAATAATACTTCTGGGGAAGATGTTGTTTGGATAAATATCTCAAATTTGCCTGATACTGTTCTTACTGGCGATCTTCAGGTTTCTTTTTAAATTAATTTTTGGAATAGGTATGGGATAGAACTGGAATCAGGGATTTAAAAAGCCCTTATTTTATTGGGAACCTCTATCATGCTAGTCAAGGTTAGATAAGGAACAAGATCTTGACTCTGGATTTTTTTCTTCCATGTCAAGAGGTCATGGCGGACCATGGCCTCTTGACCTTTAGTAAGGGACAAATCGAGAACACTGAATAAATGCTTTGATCTTGACTCCGGATTCAGGAAAGATCCTTGTCTATATTCAGATCCAAGCCTATCTTTAGTGTTTATAGCAAATAATTCTTTTTCTCGTTGGGCAGAGACCTTTGATTTCATTCAAAATTCTCTTCAAATTTTTAGGAACTATTCCAAGAATTTAACCTCCTTGGTGTTGGAGTTCATTATGACGAATTTGGTCAGCACATGGGCACGGCTGATTTGTTTGTAGATGGACGCTCAGCAAAGGCTATTTTGCGTGAATATGCAAATATTGCCATTGACGGTTTTTTTTTGTCTTTTTTTGATTTGAAAAATTTTTTCAGGTCAAAAGATTCGTTTTGCAATAGTTAATGAACAAGCTGCTGCTACACCTCAATTTCAGAATCAGCAAAGGCGAGACAATTTGAGAGGAGGTCGTCGACGTGGAAATGCTGCTGGTGGTGGTGGTGGACGTCGTGGAGGAGGGGGAGGTGGTGCTGGTGGTGGAGGAGGTCGCCGTATTCGTTCTGATAGTGGACAATCGTCCCGTACATATTCTAGGTTCGAGAATTTTTTTAAGGATTTACATGTGTGTGGGTTTTGTATGTGTCTAATAAAATATTGGGGAAAATTTTTGAGCGACATCAGGTTGAATCTGGATTCAGTTATTAATTGTTCCTTGATCACTAGGTGTCAGGGGCTTCTGATTCCTTATTTCTTTGACCATTACGTACAATCTTAGGGAAGGAAAAAATAAGCAAAAAAAGGAGGAAACAGCTTCAGAATTACCCTATTTTTATTAGCGATGTCATGGGTTGGGAAAAAATATTTGAGAATTTTTCGAAGTGGTTCGGGGTTGGATAAGTCCAGGTCGTATTTTATATAACCCATGACATTCTTGATCCTCACCTTACGAAAAAATCTCGTTTCATTTAGATCTCGCTCTCCAATCGGTCGAGCTATTGGCGGTGGTGTCTCTAAACCGCGTCGTGTTGGTCGTAACACTACAACTCAAGTAAAAACTGCAGCAGAATTAGATAGGGAATTGGAAGCTTATATGAATGGAATGAAGGTTTTTTTGGAGTTTTTCCCCAATTTTTATATTTTTTTCGGTTTTTAGCATCCACGCGTCAAACTTGAATGAACATTTGGTTGAAATCGAATTTTAAAAAAATTTGTGTTTTCTTCTCCAATGGAAAATGAGGGGGGAAGAATAGAAAAAAAAGAATTTATTTAATTCCTTTTATTATTATTTTTTGATTTGAATTGTAACCATTTTTTGTTTTTTCTTCTAAAATTAAAATATTTGTGTGGATAAAAAATTTGTCTAAAATTTTGAATATTTTTTGATAATGTATTTCGGTTACTTTTAATATATTTTTTGAAAGATTTTGAATATTTTTTTAGCATTTTTTTATTGTTTTTTGAAAATTGACATTGATGGAGGACGACAAATATTTAATGGAAAAGGTTTGTTAATTTTGTCTGAATTAAATTAAAAAAAAATTTTTTTTTGAAGATCTCGTCAGATGAGGAAGGAGAATATGGAGAGGGGAGAAGTAGTCAATTAATTGGTGATGGGAGAGAACTTGATTCATTTTCAAAGGAAGTGGAGGATAAGGTTTTATTTTTAAAGATTATTTGGTAATTCTGAAGATTGTCCCCCCCCCCCCCTTTTTTTTCCTTACTTTTTCCTTCCTTATGTTTGTACACAATGGTCAGATTTTTCCCCTTACCTTTTCCTCTTTGGCATATTCAAACAAGAGAGAAGATTAGTTTTGCTGCATTCATCAAATTATTTTTTGCCTTCGGAAATTATGTTAATAAAAAAAGAATTAAAAAACAGGCAAAAAATAATTTGATGAATGCAAAACTAATCTTCTCTCTCGTTTGAATATGCCAAAGAGAAAAGGGAAAGGGGAAAAATCTGACCATTGTGTACAATCATAAGGAAGGAAAAAGTAAGGAAAAAATGGGGGGGGGGGGACAATCTTCAGAATTACCGATTATTTTGAAGAAAATCCCAGTCTCCTTAACGGTTTCAGAAAATTTTTTGAATATGAGGACCTCCGGTTTTAAGAATTAATAAAAATGTGGCGGTGGTCGTCAGAAAGAATTTGGCGAGAATTTTTGATTTTTGGAATTTGAACCGCAGAGAAAAACGATCTTGTCTGTTTCAAATTTTATGAAAAATTTTTTAGAGCACAAAATCAAATGAAGAATCACCTCAAAAACCAATTTTTACAACTTCACAAATTTGGGATGAACAAGAATTGCATGATGATGAGGAAGGAGAAAATGAGCAATTAATGGAAGATGAAAGTTTAAATGGAATAAGTACTTCACCTTTTTGGACACAGTCTATAGCTCCTGGTAAATATTACAATCGGGTAAGTCATTTTTTTTATTTTTAAAAACTTGATTGGAAGTAGAAGGCAGTGATGTTCGGGTGTTCTCGACTTTTTTAGTCAAGACTGAGAGCTCAAAAACCCCGGGAATTTTGCTGACTCGTGAACCGAGACCGAGAGTCTCGAACATCACTCAAAGGCATGTCAGTCTGCCGAAGAAAATAGAAAGTCGATTAGATATTTTTGGGGTAGTTTGACGAAATAAATGTCGAATTTTCCAAAATTGTCAAGATCTGACTTATTGAGATTTTGGTCCAATAAAATTTTGTAAATTTCTAAAAAACGGGTTGGCCATATGGATGTGAGTGACCTTTTTGTACGGAGAGTTTAAAATTAATTTTTAAAAACGTACTCTCGGTGATTTGGTTTGCTTTCATCCATTGCAACCCCCAATTTCTATATTCTATTAAAAAATTATTAAAAGAAAATTTTTTTTTGATTCTCTACACAAGTCATGTAAAATTTTGGTCTTTGACTTAAAAATCAAAAAGAAAATTTTTTTAATATTTTAAAAAATTGAGGCTCGTGGAGGTGGTCAAACAGCAACGCCAGCTTTACTTTCTCTTCAACGCCAATTTGAAAATTGTATTATTCAAACAATTAAAGAAGGTATGGCAACACAGCCAAAATGTGATCCTCCTCCAACAAATTTAAATAATTGTTCTTCTCATAATTGTGATGCTGCTGCTAATAATAATTGCTGTTAGTTTTTTATATATTCGGACCTTGTCTAGTTGTACCACCTTTGGGGTTGAATAGGGAATATTGTTAATGTAGTGTATTTTTGATATCTGACAAAAGAGCGATTCAAATTTGACTTCATATGTTTCAGAGTCATTTTGAAAGTGAAAGAGGTCACTTTGCAATAGAAACTTTGCATAGGTTTCTTTTATCGAATGGTACCAAGAACAATACTAAATTTTTCGTATTTAGTAAGTGAAGTTCCTTTGTAAGGGTTATCGCTTTTGAAGCTCCCCCTTCCCTCTCTTACCCAGTTGTCGATCACATTAATATGTTCCCGATTTTATTAAAATTATTTTAGAAAAAATTTAAAAATTTTTAGCAAAACATGTAGCTGGAAGTGACAGTGATTCTGACAATGGAGGGGAAAATTCTGATAATTCTTCTAGTTCTTCAATTTCTTGTAAATTTTAACAAAAAAACGTTAAAATAAAAATTTTATTTTTAGCACATAACACTTCTAAAAATGGTCGAAATACTGCTGGTGGTGGTGACTCCAACAATTCATCTCCTTTAAAAAAACGATTTGGGCGACGAAGACGAAAGCGTCAACAAATAAAATCTTTTGCGCGTGAAGAGGTTTAGAAAAAAAATTTTTTGAAGATTTTTCTTTTTTGAAGAAATTTAACCCTCAAAAAATTTTCTCGAATTTTTTCTAAAAATTTTAAAAATGATTTTTCAACCTCCAAGCAAGGGCGTAGCCAGAGGGTCGATTTTGGGGGGGGGGCTAATTCTTTTTCTAATTTTTCTCCCCTTTCTCCCATTTCGGGGGGGGGGGGGCTTTAGCCCCGGAAGCCCCCCTTTTGGCTACGCCCTTGTCTCCAAGAATTTTTCTAAAATTTTTAAAATTTTTTCAAACCCCAAGAAATTTTCTGAAAAAATTTTCCCTCAATAGATTTTACGTAAACGTTCACACCCAGCTGCTTTACACCCTGATATTGGATTCAACGAACCAGGCCAACTTAACGACGGCCCTCTATGCAAGTGTTCTTGGGCTGCAAAACAAACTGGAGTTAGACATGGAAAATTTGCTGGAGAAAAAGCTTTTCCTCGTTGTGATTGGAATTCGAGGTTTATTTAATTTTTTAATTTAATTAAAAAAATTTTTTTAAGTAATATTGAACGTTTATATCATTATGTTCTTCATGTTGAGGTTTTTTAAAGTTCTAATTATGGGCTTTAACTGTTTGTATTAATTTGGTTCTCTTTTGGTGTCATGTTATAGAATTTATAGTCAATAACATATTTGGGCCTATTATTTTTAATGATACAAAGGGCGTAGCCAGGGGGTTGGGCTTCTGGGGGAGATAGGGAAAAGTGAGAAATATGAGGAGGGAAAATGAATTGAGGAGGAAGGGACCCCCTTGAAATTGGCCCCCTAGCTACGCCCTTTAATGATACCGAAAATGTGCAAAATTAATACTGTTCCCTTGTTAGAGTTCGACAAGGTCCCTTGTAAATTAAGCAAAAATTTTTTTAATAATTTAAAGCCCAATCCTGCATCACTATCACGTCATCCAACACAAATTCAAATTGATGGTCATTGCTACAAATTTGATGGTTTTTTTTAAATTAAAAAAAAGATTTTTTTGATTTTATCTTCAAAAGGTTTTTCTGTTTTCTTTCACAAACCTTTACCTGAACGTTTCCCTCAACGTCCAATAAATCAATGGACACAACATTTTCAAGTTAGATTTTTACATGAAAATGCTCCAGAGGTTTTTTTTGGATTTTTAAGCTTAAAAAATTTTTGTAAATTTTTTAGAGTTTTACAGTTGCAGATCTCGAATTATTCCATTCTTTTCTTTTTGAAGGAATTTTAGAACTTTACGATTTAAATAGACAATTAAATATTTCAAAAGAAGAAATTAACTCATCTTGTCCATTTTATCATTGTTTGCCAAGATTTGCTAGATCTTTACCAGGTTTATTAGAAATATAAAAAATTAGATAAAAAAGATTAGGAAAGAATTAGGCTTTAAGTAAAATTTATATAGGGATGGGGGAAGACGATTACTAGGAGGAGGATTTAGGAAGAAATATTACCGAAGGAAGATGAAAACAACTTCCCTCGTAACAGAGTCAGTATAGCACTTGTGTACTATGTAGTGGTGAGTGAACCTAGTAATAACTGCCAGGAATTTGCCTGCTCGGGGCATTGCTCCATATAGGCACATAGGCATTTTTACTTTTATATTAATTAATTTTTTATTTTCTTCCATTTTTTGCTTCTATAATTCTAATTTTTATCATTTTTTGTTTCTCAAAATTCTATTTTTGAGACACTTAATTTTGAAATTTTTTGAATATTTTTAAATTTATAGATAACGGAAAAGAGCTTTTACCACTTTCTTCAATTCTTTCTCATTTTATTACAAATTTTACGCCTTTAGTAGATGACCGATTAGCTCAATATTTTCACATTAACCCTTTGGCACTAGTTGATTTTGCTTGTCAAAAGAAGGGGGAAATTTGTATAAATCCTAAAAAGGTCTTTTGAATTTTTTTAATTTTTTTTTAAAATCATTTTTTAAAAGAAACCTTTGGCAATACGTTTGGATTTGTTAGAAAAATCTGCAGACAATAAAGAATTTTATCCAATAATTACACATTTTGGTATAAAACCTAATGCATATGCTTTTTTGGCTAGACCACAGTAAATTAATTTTTAATTTTTTTTAAATTAAAAAAAAGCTTGGGACTTAACGGACCGACTTTTCGTTTTTCTGCTTGTCTCCTCCATTTTTAGAAATGTCGATTTTAATTTTTCTTGGGGTTTTATGTTCCTTTTTTAACTAAAAAATAGGATTCGAAAAGAGATATTATTGTTTGGAGCTCCTCTACAAAAAAATTTTTTTTGATTTTTCGTTTTTCTGGTTTTTCTGGTCTTTTCGTTTTTCTGGTTGTCTCCTCTACTTTTAGAAATGTCGATTTCAATTTTTCTTGGGTTGTCCCTTTTTTAACTGATAAATACGATTCGGATTGAGCTATTATTGTTTGGGGCTCCTCTATAAAAATTTTTTTTTCAATTTAGAATGCAAGATGCTTTATACAAACACTTACAATTACGTAAACATTTATCTTCAAAACCTTCAATAACTTTTGAAGAAAAATGGTTATTAAGAAAAAGTGAAGCACATTTAAATGCTCTGAAAAGGGAATGGTAAAGAAATTTAAAAAAATTTTTTTGAGAATTTAATTAAAATTTTTTTAAGTAAATCTAAAAGAAATACAATTGTCCATATTAGCTCAAGGTACTAAAATATTTTTTTTCTAAAATTTTTTTTATTTTCAAGGGATTTTTATTCAACTGGAATTTGTTCTGACATGGTATTCTTATTTAAAAAAATTTTTTTTAATTTTCTAAAGGTTTTACATTCAATTTTACTTGTTTTGGCCTGTCAACATGTTCGTTTTCACTGTTCTTTAAATTTTTTGGAGGAACGATTGGCTTATACATTTAAAGTTTGAAATTAATTTTATTAAATTTAAAAAATGAAAGGAAATATAGAGAAAAGGCATAGAGAACGGAAAAAATAAATTTTTGAAAAATTCAGAATAATTTCAAAAAAATATAAAAAAATCAGAATTGCAACAAAATATAAAAGTCAGAATTTTATAGAAATAAAAATACAAAATCACTGAATTTTGGAGAAATACTAGAGAGCGGGCTGGATCTGGATCCAGACCTTGATTTTTCCTGTATCCAGAGTCCATATCAATGCATTTTTCAGCGTTCCTTGATTTTTCCTTGACTCAAGGCCAAGAATCTGGTCAAGGTACCCAACCGAAATCAAGGTCAAGGTTTTTTGAAAATCTCGCTCTCTAGAAAATACATTTTGTGAGTCCCAAAAAAAAATTAAAAAAAGAATAATTTGTGGAAAAACGTTTTAAAAAATCAGAATTATCAAAATTTTGGGAAAAACCAGAAGAATATTAAAGATTGAAATTTTATTAAAAAAATTTTTTTTCTAAAGAATCGTTCTCTTTTGGAACTTGCATTAATTCACCCTTCATTTCGTGCAAATTATGGAACAAATTCTGATCATGCAAAAAATGTTTTGAATAATTGTGGTTTAAGAATTGGATTAACTACTGCAACAACAACAGCAACTTCAAAATCTCCATTAATTCCTTCTCCACAAAATTTAATTTCTTCCTCTTCACCATCAAAAAATTCAACAGAAAATTCTTTAGAATTATTAACTAAACAACAATTAATTCAAAAAACTGGTAGAAGGAGAGGAATTAATGTTTTAATGGAAATTATGTCTATGCAACGTTCTTCAAGTAATAAAAATGAGAATAATAAAATGAAAGAAAATAATGGAGGTGATGGAAGAATTGTTAATCGTATTAATGAATCTATTATTAAACATAATGAAAGGTTTGTGTTTTTAAATAATTTTATTTATTTTTTGGAAAGGGTTTTGTGAAATTAAATTTTATGGGTATATAATTCTATCTAGTCCCCAAGCTTAACCATTTACTAGGGCTTGGTTAAAAATTTTCGAATCTCGGAAATTAGAGGTTTGACTCGAATCAACTTTACTCGGTTGTCGAAATATATTATGCAAGGCGTTTCTTGGATTCGAAGATTTTTAACAAAAATGCGACCTATTGCCTTGTGGCTCTCCCCCTGACTACCACTCTCCCCCTTAATCAAAAATTTTTTTCAAAGGTTTATGTTTTTTTAAGAGGTTAATTTATTATTTTATCTTTTTTCCCCTTTATAGATTAGAATTTCTTGGAGATGCTGTTGTTGAATTTTTAACAACTATACATTTATTTTTCTTATTTACTGAATTGGATGAAGGTGGTCTAGCTACATTTCGATCTGCTTTAGTAATTTTTTTTTGTTTTTATTTTTTTTTTTCAAAAAAAAATTTTCTTTTAAAGGTTCAAAATCGTCATTTAGCAACTCTTGGGGATCGTTTAGGTTTACAACATTTTATGGTTTATGCACACGGTCCCGATTTGTGCCATTCTGCAGATTTACGTCATGCAATGGCTAATACTTTTGAGGCTTTAATGGCTGCCGTTTTTCTTGATTCTGGTCTTGAACAATGTGATAAGTAAGGAGGTTTTTTTTCTTTGAATTTCAATTTTATTTTTCCTATCATAATTTTCCCAATATTTTTCCTTTTTCCCATTAAAGAATTTTACTAAAATTTGAGACCTAAGGAGAGAAACTTGAGGAGTAAATGGGCAGGGAAAACTTGGGAAGTAGCCGAATTTTAGTTCCCGAATTTTATCAGATTTCAGACCTTTAGTCAAGAAAAATCACAATAAATCTGAAAAATGACTTGATTTTAGCATTGGGCACAGGAAAAATTAAGAACTAGACCAAGGATGGGCTATTGAATCAGGGATGGGATCTCTTTTTCGCTTTTTCCTTATTCCACTTTTAAAACGTGGAAGGGCCTCTCCCTGGTTCAGAAACTCACATCGATCTACCAGAAAAAAAATTTCTTAACGACTTTAAAATTTTCTTTTATAAAAATAATTTTCTTCTATTATTTTTAGAATCTTTGCAAATGCATTATTTATTAATGAATCAAATTTACTTCAAATTTGGACAAATTTACCTGAACATCCTTTAAAAGTATTTTTATTATTTTTTTAAATAAATTTAAAGAAAAAAAATTTAGAAAGACACTCCTTATGGTGATAGACATTTAATTTCTTCTGTGCCTTGTCTTAAATTACTTGTTGAATTTGAACGTTGTATTGGAATAACATTTAAACATATTAGATTACTTGCTAAAGCTTTTACTAGAAGAAATGTTCCTTACAATTTTTTGACTCTGTAAGAACAGTTTTTTTAATTTTAAAAATTTTTAAACTGCTTTGAGCTCACTTTATACAGTCAAAAAACCTCTCATTTTTTGGTACTCCTAAAAATGGGAAGACACTCACCTCAATTAGGATACTTTTTTTAAGAAAAATTTGGTTAGCCATTGGGTGAGTAAGGAAGGGGAGAGGCTACTTAACGACGATACTCACCCGAAACCTGACCCAAAAATTTTTTTTGAAAACTGTGATCCGAGTACTGATCCTTCTTTTTTTCTCTCAAACTGGTTTATCCTTGTACCCCTTCTTATAAGATGAACGACAACCCAAAAAGAGGGTTATCTCACCTATACAAATAAAGTACCAGAAAATTTTCTTTCTAAAAATTGATTAAAAATTCCAATTTTTAGTGGACATAATCAACGTTTAGAATTTTTGGGTGATACTATTTTACAGGTTTTTTAAAAATATTTATTAAAAAAATTTTTTTCTTTAAAAGTTGTTAACAAGTGAATACCTTTACAAACAATTTCCATACCACCAAGAAGGACATTTATCACTTTTACGAACTTGTTTAGTTCAAGCAACTACTCAAGCTGTTGTTTGTGATGATTTAGCGATGGTTAAATATTTGGTTATTCCACAGGTTTTTTCGTTAATTTAATAAATTTTTTTAACAAATTCTTTTTCAGGCTTTATTAAGAAAATGCCCTCAACCAAATCTTCGAACTAAAGACAAGGCTGATTTGGTAAGAAAAAAATTTTTTTCTTAAAAATTTAGATGTTCCCTTCGCACCATGTGTAGTGTGTAAGGAACATGTCCCTTCCTACATACTGAAAAAATTTTTTTTTTTAAAAAATTAATGTTCCCTTCGCACTATGTGTAGTGTGTAGAGAACATGACTTCCTCTTTAAAATTTTTTTTTATTTTTAAAATTTAATTTTTATTTAAAATTTATTCCAGGTAGAAGCATTTTTGGGTGCTCTTTATGTAGATAGAGGTTTATTATATTGTCGTCATTTTTGTCGTGTTTGTTTTTTTCCAAGATTAAAGGTTTCCTTTTTCCAAAAATTAAAAAATAAAATTTTTTTTCAAGTATTTTATTCTAAGTCAACGTTGGAATGACCCAAAATCCCAATTACAACAGTCCTGTTTAACCCTTAGAAATTTTGCTTCGTCAGAACCTGATATTCCAGAATACAAAACTATTGGAATTGAAGGACCTACAAATACAAGAATATATAGAGTAGCTGTTTATTTTAGGTGAGGAGAGAGAGAGAGAGAAAAGAATTCTGATTAATTCAGAATATTTTTTAAAAATCAGAATTTTGTATTTTTTTAAAAAATCAGAATTATTTTTATATCAGAATTTTTGAAAATTCTGATTTTTAAAAATAAATCCGAAATTCTGATTTATTAAAAGCAGAATTCTGGTATTTTTTGATGAAAAATACAATTCTGATACAATAAAAAAATCAGAATTTTATTTTAAAAAATCAGAATTATTTGTAAATCAAGAATTCTAAAATTCTGATTTTAAAAATAAATTTCTGATTTTTTTTGATTATATTAAAAATGTGTTTTTCGTTATAAAAATCAGAATTTTGTATTTTTTTTAAATCAGAATTATTTTATGTATTTTCTCATATTTTTCAGAAATAAACGATTAGCGGTCGGTACTGGTGTAAGTATGCATCTTGCACAAATGAAGGTGAAATAAATATATGAAAAAATTATTTTAAAAAATTTTTTTAATTTTAGGCTGCAGAAAATGCTTTAATTGAAAATGCAAATTTATTCAAATCAAATGGATATATTAAAGAAAATAAAAATATTTTTGAAAATAAATCAAGTTGTGGAGGTGGAGGAAATCAAATTGAAAATTATATAACAAGCTTAAATAAGGTAATTTTACTAAATAAATTGAAATTTTGATTCTTAGAAAAAGGAGGAAAAAAAATTTTCTCGCATCTTTCTAAATTTTTTTTTCTAAAAATTTTTTTACTGTTCCCTTCGCATTATGTGTAGGGTGAAGCGAACATGTAAAAAAATTTTTTTTTCTTTTTCTAAAAATATATGTTCCCTTCGAATTTTGTATAATATGAAAGAGACATGTTTTCTTTTTTTGAAGTTTTTCGTAAAAATCGTGTTCCCTTCGCACTATGTATAGGGTGAAGAGAACATGTATTTTTTAAAAATTTAAAAAAAGATTTTTTTTTCTTTTTAAAGAATAATTCTTCTACTCCCCTCAATTTTGTAAATAATCGAAAAAGACGTTTACCACCTTCATTTCAACAACGTCAACAACAATTTACATCATCAACACCAACATGTCATCATCAATATTTTAATAATAATAATAAACTTCAATTTTTTAATAATTCAACAATTCCAAAATTTTATAATAATAATAATAAAAATAATTTTTTGTCAAATAATAATAAACAAATATTAATAATGCCGTCACAAACAACAACAACAGCGCCTTCAAGTAGTATTTTCTTTCCTTCACCACCGCTTTTAAATGTTTATTCGAATGGACAACATCAAAAAAGGTAGGAAAAGTATTTTTTGGTTCTGCTTTTCAGTTTAAATTCTCAAAAAAAATTTTTTCTCACATGAGCCCAGGCCCGTAGCCAGAAGGAGGGTGAATTTCAGCGCAGAAAAAATTTCCCCCTTGGCTCCCCGCCTGAAAAAATCAGTTTACAGGCCTACCTTAATAAAAGAAAATTTTGATTTGTGAATGAAAAAACGGAGAGAATTTTGCCGAAATATATATAAAACTTAAAAATTGAATTAATAATTTTTTAAAAAATATTTCCTCTTCTAAAGAATATTCTCTAAAAATTATATAAAAAACATATTTCCAGACCTCAACACCAACAACAAAATCCTTCTCCTCCTCCCACTTCTTTTCTTCTTTTACCTCCACCACCTCCACCAACATTTTTATCACCACCTCCCTCTAAAATTTGTATTATGGCAGCTAATAATAATAATAATAATAATAATGTGGATATGAATGAAGAGAAGGAAGAAGATTCTTCTTTTGCTTCTTTGCTTCCCCCGCCACCTCCTCCACCCAAAATTCTTTAAAAAATGGGACAATTTTTAAGAAAAGACTTAAAAAAGGAGAGCTTTTTACATTAAAAAATTGAGAATACTTAAAAACAAAATTCAAAGTTTATTTTTTATATATAATTTTTGCATTATTTTCTATTTATTTTTGTGCTCAAAAATGTGTTTTTCTGTTAATTTTTTAAGTAAAAAAATTTTTTTGATAATAATCAGGGTATATACATATGTATATTATCAATAAAGGGGCATATTATTTTTAAAAAACTTGTAAAAAATAAAAATTTTCTTCCTTATTAAAATCATACTAATACATATTAATGTGTTGTTAAATGGCTCAGTCCCGAATTTTACTTGGGAAAAAGGAGAAAAAATTATTTTTTTAGTCTTCCCAGATTAAATTGGAAAAATGAAGGTTTAATCCAACTGGAAACTTGGACTTTGCGTGAAAAAACTTTTAAAAAATCCTTAATAAAATAACTGTCATCTTGAATGAATTATAGGATTATTTAAAGAATTAATTATGTTTTTATAAACACGAAAAATTGAAAACTGGTTTTAATTTAAATAAACTATCTATTGAGATTATAAATATAAAGAAAGTGATTTACTTAGTAAAAAGTCAAATAATGGAAAATATCGAAAATTTTTGAAGAAACTTTTTGGAATTCTTTTATTGTCAAAATATTTTTTACAAAGTATTTAAATGCAACAAAATGAAAAAGCTCTCAGAAACATTACTTTTTTGTAAATTTAAATAAAAGGAATGCGCAGTGGCAGACATTTTTCCGGGGAAAATCATTCTCGTGTTTTTAGTATTTGATTAAAAAATTCTTTTGGCCTTCTTTATTTTTGTGTATTTTTGTAGCCCTCCTTTTGTTACTTTAGATGGTTATAAACTTGTTTAGGGAAAATGTTCTATTTAAGCAGGAAAAGTTATAACAATTACGCAGACATTTACCTAATAAAAAACAAAGTTTAATTTTTTATGAAAAACTGATATAGAAAAATGTAAAAAAATTACTGATATCTTCCCTAGCCATATGATGAAAAATGGCAAAAGAATCTAATTTTCAACTCACCCTCCATCATCGAGATCAGAAATCAAGTGAAAATGATGGTAATATGATTCAAAAGATATTTCAGCCTTCTGATCTCGATGATGGAGGGTGAGTTGAAAATTAGATTCTTTTGCCATTTTTCATCATATCGCTAGGGAAGATCTCAGGAATTTTTTGACATCTTTTCTATATCAGTTTTTCATAAAAAATTAAACTTTGTTTTTTATTAGGTAAATGTCTGCGTAATTGTTATAACTTTTCCTGCTTAAATAGGACATTTTCCTAAACAAGTTTATAACCATCTAAGGTAACAAAAATAGGGCTACAAAAATACACAAAAAATAAAGCCAAAAGAATTTTTTGAGCAAATACTAAAAACACGAGAAAGATTTTCCCCAGAAAAATGTCTGCCACTGCGCATTCCTCTTATTTAAATTTACAAAAAAGTATTGTTTCTGAGAGCTTTTTCATCTTGTGCTGCATTTAAATATTTTGTAAAAAATATTTTGACAATAAAAGAATTCCAAAAAGTTTCTTCAAAAATTTTCGATATTTTCCATAATTTGACTTTTTACTAAATCACTTTCTTCATATTTATAATTTCAATAGATAGTTTATTTAAATTAGAGTTTTTACAAATATTTTTAAATCAAAAATAAATTATGTATTTTATGAATATATTTATTTAAAAAATTTATGAGTCCATCTTGGGTTTCTTTGTGGATTCATCTCCTTCCGACCCAGCTTCTTCCTAAATATTTTAACCAATTTTTCATAAAAATATTTTTGGATTACGGGGAAATAAAGAGCTAAAATAGGCCCGAAGTGACCCAAAGTGGCTGAAGTGGCCCTCGTCCCCCACCCAACGGTGGGGGACGAGGGCCGAAGGCCCTAGGCGACCCAAAGTAGAAGAATGGGTCACAACTTGGAGGTCGGGGGAGAGACGAGGGCCCGAAGTGACTCAAAGTGGAATAATGGGTCCCAACGGTGGGGAGCGGCGAGTGACGAGGGCTATCATTTTCGAAAACTGAACGCCTTCGGAACGCCTTCGGCGTTAATATCGCTAGCAAAACAGGACAACTCTAGACGTAGTTACTATTATCGAAATAATCAAAACATGTTTGAAAATTTATCACGAGTTTCCCGTCACCAGCAAAACACGTACTAATCAAAACATGATTCAAAAGCATCTTTAACATCCCCTGACATAAACATTTAGCAAATCGAAGCGCACATTTAAAACTTGAGAACCTCTAGAAAACATTATCTTGTAATCAAAAAGTACAACTAACCCACCAATATTACCCCACTTTTTTCGTAATCATTTTTAAGCAAAATTTTGTAATTGTAATTAGTAACTCAAAAAATGCTGTACTTCATAATTACGACGCAACTCTGCTTCCCTCTTCATAAGCAGTAAAGAAAATCATTAAATTCGGAAATTGGAACTCGAAAGAATTTCAAAAATATCGAAATCTTAAATAATTTTCAAAATCTGAAATCGAAAATTCCCCCTCTTCACCGCACAGGTGAAATTTCCTGAAAGTTTGGAAGGCAAAATAACTTCCTTGATTAATAACTCCCTTAATCCCTCGATCAATACTAAGATCCTTCAATTTGTAGTTGGTAGAATAAGTCGATAAGTTGATATAAAGTACACTAAATAGTTGATAATTGGTAGAATAAGTCGATAAGTTGATATAAAGTACACTAAATAGTTGATAATTGGTAGAATAAGTCGATAAGTTGATATAAAGTACACTAAATAGTTGATAATTGGTAGAATAAGTCGATAAGTTGATATAAAGTACACTAAATAGTTGATAATTGGTAGAATAAGTCGATAAGTTAATATAAAGTACACTAAATAGTTGATAATTGGTAGAATAAGTCGATAAGTTGATATAAAGTACACTAAATAGTTGATAATTGGTAGAATAAGTCGTTAAGTTGATATAAAGTACACTAAATAGTTGATAATTGGTAGAATAAGTCGATAAGTTGATATAAAGTACACTAAATAGTTGATAATTGGTAGAATAAGTCGTTAAGTTGATATAAAGTACACTAAATAGTTGATAATTGGTAGAATAAGTCGATAAGTTGATATAAAGTACACTAAATAGTTGATAGTTGGTAGAGCTTTTGGCAGATGGCCTCGAAAAGCGCTCCAAGAATTTACGACTAATCTGTCGCAAATCTGATTCAACTTTAATGCATCAGGTACTTAAAAAAGCTTTAATAAAAGCTGCGTAGCTTAGCAAAGTAGAGAAACAACAATGGCACAGGGCCTCGGGATACGCCGATTCACAGCAGCGAAATTGTTGGCAATGGACATTGAGCTCCAAAACGACTGACTTGGTAAAGTTTATACAGTATCCAATCAAGCTTAATATTCGACCTGCTTCACAATTCAACTGCTTCAATATTCCAGGTTTCATAGCTCACATCAAAAACTTTCATTACCCCAAATCAATTTACTATAAAAACCCAATTTTTTATAAAATTGACAGACAAACCCTTCTCAATAAGATTCTACGGAAACTTTTAGATATTCTTCCCCGAAAGCTAAAAAAAGGTGTACCCCCCCCCCAGTGACTTTTAAAAACAAACTTTTGGTCGTCTAACATGCTTCGCATTTACATTCTCCGCCTTCATTCCCACCTTCAGACACTTAAGATACCGACAGCGTTTGCACTTAAAAAATGGATTTTTTAAGCCTTTTTATTTAATCTAAACAAACCAATAAAAGTTTATCCTTTGTGCAATTATTTGTTAATTCCTTGCATGGTTGGTCGA